CACAAACAAGATCCCCAGACTGCAACTTAAGTGATTCCCACATATCTATATGGCTACTAACCCTAAGAAAAAAAACGGTAATTATCACAGCTATAAAGGACTCTGTTCAGTTCAAGTACATCTTGGAAACCACTGATCCTCAAGGTCGCTACCACATCTTAACTTGTCAAGTAAATGACATTCTCTACACTCTAGTCAATGTCTATGGCCCCAACAACAATCATTTGAAATTTTACCATAAACTCCACTCCATCATCTCAAATCAAACACAAGGCAGACTTATCATCGGCGGAGACTTCAACGTTATTGGCAATCATTTTTTGGATACGTCTTCTAACAAAAGATCTCACAACCTACACTTTAACCAATTTCTGCATAACCACGACCTTTACGACATCTGGAAATGCAACACAGCAATGAGAGAGACTATACTTATTATTCCCCCTCTCACCTCTCCCTATTCCAGAATAGACTTTTTCATCACAGACAAATGGACACTTCAACACGTGATATCATCCACAATCGGTACCATAACTTGGTCAGACCATGCCCCAATCAATATATCTGTCAGGGACCATCGCGACGCATGGGTCTACACATGCATAGGCGTCTGTCAAGACATACAGGTAGCAGGGCACTAGGACCCAGGCGCGCATGTCGTCTTGACAGTACTAGGCAGGCACTGGGACCTAGGCGGCGACGGTCAGGTACAGGGGGGGCTACTTAAGCCAGCCCTGCACAGATGCTTGTTGCCGAATGGTCTTTTTTTTTTTCTGTTGCCTCTGTAGTGAGTACTCTGATCTGAATTGTCTGACCTTGTTGCCTTCTCCTGTCCTGACCCCTTGGCTTACCTGACTCTGCTCCTGGATGTTCCCTTATAGATCTGATCTTTTGGTATTGACCCTGCGTGTGACCCGACTATCCTTTGCCTATCGTCTTGTACCTCACCGACCCGCTAGTTACTGACCCAGCTTGTTTGACTCTGACTTTGCTCATCCGTCCATCCCATCCCTCAGGGATCCCTGGGCTCCCTTACATCAGGCATCAGACTCTTAACCCGCTGGAGCCCTTGGCAGACTCCTCTACCTCTGATAGAGATACCTAGCAGCTGCGACCTGGTCCCGGAGCGCTCCAAGTCCATCCCCACCATCAGGGGCCCTGGTGAACTTAGAGCCTCCCCAGATTGCGGAGTCTATCAGGGGACTGACAGGTACTGTCAGGCAGTCCGTTACAATATCCTTAGAAGATAATCAACGATCAGCAATCCCGCCCATCTGGAGACTAAACTCTGAAATTTTGAAAGACTCAAGATAACTAGAAACACCTACTGAAAGCCCACAACTTATTCTTCAAAATTAACTCCACCCCTGATATACCTATGACCACAATATGGTCCGCCTACAAGGCCTACATGAGAGGTATTCTCATACAACTAAACTCCCGTATCAATAAACAACGATCCCAAAACATTTACCAACTTTTATCTTCCATTAAACTAAACGAAGAAAAACAAAAAAAACCCTAACCCTTCCACTTCCACATCCCTCACCCAAGACAGAAACAAACTACAAACTATTCTACTACAAAAATATGACCTCAACCTCCAAAAAACAAAATCAAAATTCTACGCACTCAGCAATAAAAGCAAACTCTCTTTTAACAAAAATAATTAAACTAAAACGGCTCAAATCTAAAAATCCTTACGATTCAACACCCCGTCCACAAATGCCTTACTTACAAACCCGCAAGACATAGCCAATGCGTTCGCAACTTATTATCAAAAATCTATATAACATTAAAGATGACCCAACCACAGCCCAACCAACAACTGCTTCCATACAAAACTTCCTAGCCACAACTAATCTTCCCCGACTCACGTCATCCCAACTCACAGCGCTCTACACTCCAATTTCTCCTACAGAAAGTGGAACAATAATATAAAGCCTTACTCTAAATAAATCACCAGGAAATGACGGTTTCACCAATGAGTTCTATAAAATATTACACAAAACCTCTCACCACATCTATCTGCACTATTCAACCATGCTGCCTCTACAGGAGATTTCCCTATTGAAATGCTTCAATCGATAATCACGACTATTCCAAAACCGGGTAAAGACCCACAATTGATCCAGAACTACCGACCCATCTCACTTCTGAACACTGACATATAACTTTATGCCAAAATAATTGCCCAACGATTACTCCCCTTCCTACCTACGTTAATTCATCCTGATCAAGTGGGATTCATCCCTGGTCGTCAGGCACCAGATGCAACTAGACGAATCATATCCCTCTTACATAACCTCAAATCCACTAAACAACCCTCCCTAACTTTTGTCGCTAGATGCTGAAAAAGCATTCGACCGAATTCACTGGCAATTTATGAAACTTACACTCCAAAAATTTGGCATTACAGACTGGATGTTATCGGCAATCCTATCCCTCTACTCCAACCCGTCTGCCAAAGTATTAACTAACTGAGCTCTTTCACAACCCTTTCTCATATCCAACGGCAAAAAGACAGGGCTGCCCCCTATCTCCCATAATTTTTACCCTACTAATTGAGCTGTTAGCATCTAAACTCAGAGATGACCCAACTTTCACAGGAATTGCCCACCTTAAAAAAGAACACAAAATCAGCCTCTTTGCAGACGACATCATCCTAATGATCACCAACCCCTATAAATCACTCCAATCGATACGTTCACATCTTAAGAAACTATGCAGAAGTCTCTTACTATAAACTTAATGAACCCAAATCCTCTATCCTAAATCTCTACACACCCACGACTATCCAGAATACACTGACTAAACATTTCCCTTTCTCCTGGGAACATTCAGCATTCCTTATCTTGAGATAAAAAACTCACCGCCACTACCTGTCAGGGCTCCCAGGTATGACCAGAGGTGTGTGACTGATGCAGGGAAACGCAGACTTCAGATATGTGATAAACAATACAATTTATTAACACTAACCATACAAACATAAACGCAGTGCAATACTAAACATAATACAGTGCAAACAAACCAAACCAAACCACCCACAGATAACAGTACATACAAGCAAGCGTCGTCAGGCAGGCCGGGTCAATATCAATTGGGCAGGTAGGTACAGGGGGAGCAAGCAGAGAATGGTCGGGGTCACAGGCCAGGTTCAGCAGGTAGCAAGCAGCGTAGTACAGAGGGTCAGGCAGAGGGATGGTCAGGGTCACAAGCCAGAGATCAAAACAGGTAACAAGCAGCGTAGTACAGAGGGTCAGGCAGAGGGACAGAAACAGGATGCAGGACAGATACAGGGCCCAGGACAAACACAAACACCAAGGCAGAGTCTGTGGGTCTGGCCATCCCTTAAATACCCCAGCATCATCAGTTCCAGGTGTTAGCTGGCTGAAAGGTTGAGTCTCTTGATTGCTGGGAGCACCCGGCTGGCCAGCCCTGGTACTGCAGAATCAAAAGGCAGGTGAGTCCCACCATTGCTGGCCAGTCCATTCCTAACAGTACCCCCCCCCCCCCCCCCCCCCCCAAGGAGCGGCCTCAGGACGCTCCAAACAGTCCTAGCTGGGCAAAATGTTCCACCGCCCCGGGTCTGGTAACTGGCGGGATATCAAAGACTGGCACACCGGGCAGGACTCCGGGCAGCGGCACACCGGGCTGGACTCCGGGCAGAGGCACACCGGGCTGGACTCCGGGCAGAGGCACACCGGGCATGAGGCACACTGGGCAGAGGCACATCAGGCAGAGGCACATCGAGCAGGACTCCTCGGGCAGAGGCACATCGGGCAGGACTCCGGGCAGAGGCACATCGGGCAGGACTCCGGGCAGAGGCACATCGGGCAGGACTCCGGGCAGAGGCACATTGGGCAGGACTCCGGGCAGAGGCACATCGGGCAGGACTCCGGGCAGAGGCACATCGGTGTACCAGGCGAAGCAGCAGGCAGCGGGCAACCAGGCGGAGCAGCAGGCACCACGGGCCCCCGGGCGGAGCAGCAGGCAAAACCGGCCCCCATGGAAGAGCATGCAGGCACCGGGCCCCCGGGGCGGGGCCACATGCATCGGGCCCCCGGGCGGAGCAGCAGGCACCGGGCCCCCGGGCGGAGCAGCAGGCACCGGGCCCCCGGGCGGGGCGCCCGGGCCCCCGGGCGGGGCAGCAGGCACCGGGCCCCCGGGCGGTAGCAGCAGGCACCGGGCCCCCGGGGTGGGGGCGACGGGCCCCCGGGCGGGGCAGCAGGCACCGGGTCCCCGGGCGGGGCAGGCAGGCACCGGGTCCCCGGGCGGGGCGACAGGCACCGGGGCCCCCGGGCGGGGCGACAGGCACCGGGCCCCCGGGCGGAGCAGCAGCAGGCACCGGGCCCCCGGGCGGGGCAGCAGGCACCGGGCCCCCGGGCGGGGCAGCAGGCACCGGGCCCCCGGGCGGGGCAGCAGGCACCGGGCCCCCGGGCGGGAGCAGCAGGCACCGGGCCCCCGGGCGGATCGGCGGGCGCCGGACCCCCAGATGGAGCGACAGGTCTCGGGCCCCTCGGGCGGAGCGGCGGGCACCGGACCCCTCAGGTGGAGCGACAGGTCTCGGGCCCTCAGGCGGAGCGCGGCGGGCGCCGGACCCCCAGGCGGAGCGACAGGTCTCGGGCCCTCAGGCGGAGCGGCGGGCGCCGGACCCCCAGGCGGAGCGGACAAGGTCTCGGGCCCTCAGGCGGAGCGGCGGTGCGCCGGACCCCAGGAGGAGCGAACAGGTCTCGGGCCCTCAAGCGGAGCGGCGGGCGCCGACCTCCAGGCGGAGCGACCAGGGTCTCGGACCCTCAGGCGGGGAGTGGCGGGCACCCGGACCCCAGGTTGGAGCGACAGGTCTCAGGCCCTCAGGCGGAGCGGCGGGCGCCGGACCCCCAGGCGGAGCGACAGGTCTCGGGCCCTCAGGCGGAGCGGCGGGGCGCCGGACCCCCAGGCGGAGCAACAGGTCTCGGGCCCTCAGGCGGAGCGGCGGGCGCCGGACCCCCAGGAGGAGCGGGTCACAGGTCTCGGGCCCTCAAGCGGAGCGGCGGGCGCCGGGACCTCCAGGCGGAGAAAGCGACAGGTCTCGGACCCTCAGGCGGAGTGGCGGGCGCCGGACCCCCAGGCGGGAACGACAGGTCTCAGGCCCCAGGCGGGGCGGCGGGCACCGAGTCACCAGGCACAATCGTGGGCTCCGAGTCAACTGGTATGACCGCGGGCACTGGGTCAGACATTGGATCGTCTGGCTGGACAGCGGGCACTGGGTCACCAGGCATCAGGTCATTTGGCTATCGACAGCGGGCACCGCGTCATCTGGCAAGGCAGTGGGCTCCGAGTCAACAGGCACGACAGTGAGCACCGGGTCATCAGGTACCGGATTGTCTGGCTCGACAGCGGGCATCGGGTCACCAGGTATGACAGCGGGCACTGGGTCACCAGGCATCAGGTCATTTGGCTCGACAGCGGGCACCGGATCAGGTACCGGATCAAATGGATCAACAGCGGGCATTGAGTCAACTGGCCTAATAGGATCGTCAGGCTGGATCAGTTTCATCATGCTGGGTAGAGGCATCAGGCTGAAATGCCGGCGTCCGGCTGAGTAGAGGCTTCAAGCCGAGTAGAGGCTTCAGGCCGAGTAGAGGCATCAGGCTGAAGAGAGGCATCAGGCTGCATACAGGCATCAGGCTGAAGAGAGGCATCAGGCTGCGTACCGGCATCAGGCTGAGTAGAGGCATCAGGCTGAGTAGAGGCATCAGGCTGAGTAGAGGCTTCAGGCTGAGTAGAGGCTTCAGGATGAGTAGAGGCTTCAGGCTGAGTAGAGGCTTCAGGCTGAACCTCGGAAGGCAGGCTCACCGGTTTGGATACTGGCAGGATGGTATTGGTTGGAAAAATTTTCGCTTTTTTTTGGTTTTAAACTACTGGAGCACTGCAAGTAAACGCAGGTCTGCAAACGAATGGAGCAGCTGGAGACAGAGAAGAACTGGAGGATGGAACAGGAGAGGGAGCGGTTGCTACAGAGGGCTCTTTTACAGGGTTAAAGGCAGGATAGGTGCAGCGAGTGGGAACAGGGTACTGACATGCGGTAGATAGCAGGGCAGGAGGAGCTGTTGGGAATGCAGGAATAGAGTTTTGAGGAAATAGATTAGAAGCAGGACTGGGTCTTTGTAAGCTGACTGAGGCTGGGTGCAAACAAATCTGTCCATGTCTGCAGTATGGTTGAACAAAGCTGAGCTTACACAAAGCCTGTCTGGTCAATGACTGCACTGCGTTTATACAATCTCTATAGTGTCTGTGGTGAACATGTGGAATAACGCTCCAGAAAGTAACCCACATCATCCTCTAATAACCACACCAGGGACTCTACCTGGTCTGCACTAAATGGGTGGCAAAAAATTCATCCCTGCATTCGGGGGTACCCAGATGAAACCAACTCAGCACAAACCTCAATCAATGGCTGCACCTCAGAGAACTCTGTGCCCTGATCTACTAGAACATGAGCGAGCCGTATACATTCTAGCAGTTCATCCCGGGTATACTCCTTCAGAGTTTGATAAGCATACTCCCTGTCATCAAACACTAGCAGATATAAATATTCAACCTCATCAAGATCCATCCTTCCCATCAACAAGCCAAGATGGCTTCCCTGTGCAGCCACTTCTGGTCAGGATTGGCCTTGGTGTAATGTCAGGGCTCCCCAGGTATGACCAGAGGTGTGTGACTGATGCAGGGAAACGCAGACTTCAGATATGTGATAAACAATACAATTTATTAACACTAACCATACAAACATAAACGCAGTGCAATACTAAACATAATACAGTGCAAACAAACCAAACCACCCACAGATAACAGTACATACAAGCAAGCGTCGTCAGGCAGGCCGGGTCAATATCAATTGGGCAGGTAGGTACAGGGGGAGCAAGCAGAGAATGGTCGGGGTCACAGGCCAGGTTCAGCAGGTAGCAAGCAGCGTAGTACAGAGGGTCAGGCAGAGGGATGGTCAGGGTCACAAGCCAGAGATCAAACAGGTAACAAGCAGCGTAGTACAGAGGGTCAGGCAGAGGGACAGAAACAGGATGCAGGTCAGATACAGGGCCCAGGACAAAACACAACACCAAGGCAGAGTCTGTGGGTCTGGCCATCCCTTAAATACCCCAGCATCATCAGTTCCAGGTGTTAGCTGGCTGAAAGGTTGAGTCTCTGATTGCTGGGGAGCACCCGCTGGCCAGCCCTGGTACTGCAGATCAAAAGGCAGGTGAGTCCCACCATTGCTGGCCAGTCCATTCCTAACACTACCTCACAACTATATGCTGCCAACCATAAACCCACTCCTTGAAACCATCCCACATGAATTGAAAAATCTACGTACATCAACTTTGTCGACATTGGGAAGAGTAGCAACCCTAAAAATGTGCATATTACCCAAAATACTTTATATATTCCGCACACTTCCCATTTCCCTGTCCCCAAATATCTTCTTTTCTAAACTCCAAGCATCAATAGCCAAGTTCGTATGGGAAACTCAAAAAAACCTAGATGCTCCACAAACCTCCTAATACGTCCAGCCTCCAAAGGAGGGGCGGGACTTCCCCATATAAAATCATACAATAATGCCGCCCTTCTAGATCAGCTCTTTTTCTGGTGGCACCCTACCGATGAAAAAACGTGGACCACCATGGAAACTCCTCCACAACTACAGCACACACTTGATAAAATGTTATTCTTATCCCAAAACCACTACCAAACCCCCAGCTTTTATCTAAGCATCCTTGCATACAAGCCTCACTAAACGCCTGGTATGACTTCTTAAGTTCCAACAAGTCAGATTATACTGTAGATACTAAACAAATTCCTACACCACTTTCCACTTTACACTTCATTATTCCCTATCTAAATCTGACGCAATGGGAGAATTGAGGCATTTCCCATATCTGAGACATATGCACAAACCACAACCTAGACTCATTCTCCACTCTACAGGAGAAATTCCACCTTCCTGACAAAGAGAACTTTATTATATGCGAATAGATCACTCCCCCTACACAAAATAAACTATACCTCTCGAACTCACAATCCCTTACTACCACAGACCAATTCCTCCATAAGACACACATATCCAAAGAAAGGAATTCTCAACCTTCTACACGCTCATAACCAAAGAACATTTTACGCTTCATACTACCTCTCTAACCAATTGGGAGAACATTTGTCCCTCAACCAATACAACCACACACACCTGGGAAGAACTTTCAATATCACATATAAAGCCTCTAAATGTAGTTCCCATTGGGAAAAATATATGAACATTTTACACCAGTGGTACTTGACGCCTGTTAAACTTGCACTATATTACCCTCAACACTCAACCTACTTGCTGGAGACACTGTGGAGAACTAGGATCAACACTACATTTACTGGTCATGTAAATTCCTCAAATCCTACTGGAATAAAGTCTTTCAATTGACTTCTTCTATCACCAGAGTCCCTATGACCCCAAACCCATCCTTGCTCTCCTACACATAGGAATAGACAAATTCCCTACAGACACATGTACCATCATTATTATTATTATAACAGTATTTTTAAAGCGCCAATAGTTCGCTCAGCGCTGTACATTACAAGGGGGACAGAAAACATGTGACAGAACAACAACAATACCAATGCAAAACATGGGGGGATCGAGGGCCCTGCTCTTTCGAGCTTACAATCATTATACACATATTAGCTGCAGCTAAAATCAATATCACTAAATTGTGGAAATCCACGAAAACTCCTTCTCTAGCAGCTTTCCTATCCGACCTTAACCTCCAATGTGAGATGGAAAGAACAGCCATCCACAATTCCTCACAACAGAAATTTCAATTTCAGTGATCTCGTTGGTTAAAAAATCCAAATTGCTCCATAAAATGATAACCACAAAATAATAACTACATTCTACGACCCACACATCTATCTAATGCCTTCTTCTCCCTCTTTTCCCCCTCTGCCCCCTTTTCAATATAAACCGCACTTCCACTCCGACACGGTTCACTCTAATCTGAGCATACCTCTCATGTAAGCGCGACTTAAGTCCACAGCCTCCCCAGCCAATTGGTGGGGACCCTCTCACATACACTGAATGCTATACCTGAATGTGAACCTTTTTCTTTCATATCAACGTTATTGTACAGTGTTTGTATTATTGAAAATCCTTTAATAAAAAATATTTAAATATATGACTATTAGTAATAAGCTCTGTAATGTTTTGAGATGAACAGACCCAGCAAACCATCATTTCTAGTTGGGCTTCTATAAACTATACCATAAAATTGTCTTATCATACGTTTATACATTTCTGCCCTTAAATTGTTCCAGCAGTGCCCTTATTCCAGCCAATTTCAGGGTAGTTGAAAGCCCTTCTTTAATATCACTGTCCCAGACCTTGCTGCCCTTTCTATTGCTGCAAGGAGCTACTCCTCACTGGATGGTCTATAACAAATTCCAATAGTTAAAAGTCCATTTTTATGAAAAAAAAAAAACATGGGCAAACAGTCAGATTTTTTTTAAGCAAAAGAGGCAGGCTAAGTCTCTTCTGCATTAAAGTTACTTACATGCCTGTCTTCCCCTGTACAATGAGTTGCACTCACCCACCTCATTGTACAAGTTTTCAATGCCAAGTTGAATGAACTCTCCTTCATGCACGAGAGTGATGTCATCTTGACCTGGCCACTGCCTTTATTTATTACAGGTACTTTATATAGCACTGTTAATTTACGCAGCGCTTTACACATATATTGTACATTCACATCAGTGTCTAACCCTCAAGGGACGTACAATCTAAAGTTCCTAACCTACATTTATACATACACATACTAGGGTCAATTAAAACAGGATCCAATTAACCTGCCAGCATGTCTTTGTAGTGTGGGAGGAAACCAGAGGAAATCCATGCAGGCACAGGAAGAACATTCAAACTCCAGGCAGGTGATGCCTTTGTTGGGATTCGAACCAGTGACCGTAGTATTGCCAAGTGGAAATGCTAACCTTTTAGCCACTGTGCTGCCTTTTCAATTTACCCTATCTCTCTGAAAGAGAAACATAGCCAGGGAAATTAATAACCCAATCATGTGAAGAATGAAGCCAAGATCCAGCAATACTAATTAAAGCTTTAATTCTCTTTATGCGCGCCAAAGTTTCTAGATCTCCTATTTTGCTTGACAGACTTTTGGCATTGGTGAACAAACACATTTATTCAATGGCGCATTTTGAACTTGTGTTTTGCATATATTTTTTTTTAGAGGTATCAACAGTACTAAAATTGTCAGTGGCTGTTTATAACATGGGAAACTCCTTATCATCCACCACTGCCCTTATTCCATCTTCCCTCTTTCAACCACTTCATTATTGTCTGTACCCTGACTGATTTTACTATTCGTTATACTCTAATTCCCCCTCCTCATTCATCCTAGTTTAAATACTCCTACAGTTTTCCCATAAACCTCTCAAGTTGTGTCCCAAAGAAAATCATTTTGCCATAAAATAAAAACAACATAATTGTGATCACATTGTTTATAATCATATTAATTAAGACATCACA